ATAGAACTGACAGATTTTATGGCGAAGAATTTCACAGAGGCAACCAACAGAATAGTATCTAGACAACTCCATATAGAAAAAGGGTAACCCAAGACAGCATTTTTGTCATGTATTTTCCACTGCCTTAGTAAAATCACATTCACTTTGAATGTTTCCTATGAATAAAACGACCAGTCCAGAACACACCCAGCTCCCTGCTGAACTCCGCAGTTTGTCAGAAACACAAATTTTTGTAAGTCATGATTACAAAGCATAGAGGGAAGACCAAGCAGATCAGTCTCTGCTCCTGAGGGTTTCAAAAGGTATGTGGCACAAGGTTGACAATGAATGAAGACCTTCAGAACACTATCATACAGAACAGCTTCTGCAAGATGCTTGCACAATCTTACTTTCAGTAGCTAATAATTATCAACTGCATCTGTTGGAAGGAGCATAAAAATCACTAGACACTCTTCTCCAAGGCCAGAGACACTATCCAGGGATGCAGGGAAGTCTCTCAGGCTCGAGTTTCCCAGGATTTCCAGGTGGGATGCCTGAGGCTTCAGCCAGCAATATTCCTTGCTGGTGTTCCTTGCTCTTCTGATCTAGGGAAAGCTAGTCTGACAGACAACAACATGGTGAACTACCATCTAAAGCAAAGGACGAGCAGCAGACAGTGCAAACAAAAACCCACACAGTTAGAGACTACTGAATGTTGAAAAAATACCAGTCTGTTGTGCTGGACTAAGTGCAAGGTCAGTGCATTGATTGAATGTTCACCACTTGCCCTCCCTCTCCCATAAGGAAGTATTAGGGTGGAGATACATGAACTTGGGACTTGTATCACAAGTGATAAGACAATGCTAACCTGTAGCTGAAGGACCCTGGCCTTTAGCCAGGGCATTCAGACCAATACTACCAGTCCTAGAGAAGTGCGATTTCTCATGTCTACAGTTATAATAAATGCATGACCAGAGCAGACGGGAGTCCTAGTAAGACCGATATATATGCAGGACCAGGCGCATCCTTACTGTGCTTGGTATAGTCTGTTCAGATGAGTTAGGCAGTAAAATCCCTCCTCAGACACACAAGGTTGTGCCTCCAGTTTCATAGGACAGTGGTGATACTGGGAGAACACATGATGGAGTTATATGTGCTTCAGGAATCTGCCTTGTTCTTGGAGGTACATGCAGGCCCTCCTCATCATATGATCTGGTGAGTTAACAGACGGGAGTTAGCTAATACCCATTTCACTCCACTGACTGCAGAAATGTGAAAGATGGAGTAGGGCAGGCTACAAGTGTATTCTGATCTGATTTACATGTATCCTGTTATTCTATTGAGTTAAATATAAGATACCTTGGGTATGTCTAGAGGCAGACATACTTCTGTCATTGGCTGATGAGAAGCAGTCTATTATTCCCAATTTTAAGTGCACGTACAGGTCCCAAGTCATAATCTCTGTCCTGCACAAACTTTCCACTAACAAGAGAAAATAAAAAGCTGTTTAAAAATTAAAAGGAACTGTTGTTTTGTCCTCAGAGGTCCTTTAGTGCTGGCAGAAAGGCTATGACTGCGCAACAGCAGGAGGAATCCTGCAAGGATATTGTCCTTCATGCGCCACTGAACCTCCTCTCAGCAAGGACACTGCAAGTCCTGGGATCATATGCTACAATACCATGTTGAGTTAGACCAGTTTTTCCTGGGCTGTGGTAACGGAAGCAATCTATGCATTTATGTTCCTACTTCAGCCTTGAAATTTCTTACAGTCACACTCCCTTCACGTGTCATTTTTATGTAATGTTGGAACTTGCACCAATCAAGCTATCTTTTATACCTTGAGAACAGGCTTTACTTCCCAAGATTACGTTGTTGACACAAGAGTTTTGAGCAGTTTCTAGAACACAATGATCAGATCCTGTTTTTACAGGGTCCATGTGAAAGATTAAAAACTGGTTTTATTGGGTAGCATAAATGCAGTACATACATAAATGCAGTACATACACGGTTAGACAAAACACTCCTTTGAAAGGTTTTTCCCTAGCATTCATTTTAACAATCAGCTGCAAAACTGTCACATAGTCTCAGAAGCTTTTGCTTGAAGAGCAGGCAAACAATCTCATCATGCAGACGCAGCTAGATTTTTCCTATTTGGTTTTACAGTCAGCACGAGACATACCTGAGCACTCTGCAGTCTTGTTTTCATTCTGATGCTACAGAATTACTACGCACCTGCTACTCCCACTGGGTACTATGCACATCTGGCACTCCTGAAAACTGAAACTGTGAGTGGAGACTGATCACTGCCCAGTAACAGAGAAGGTGGTAGAGTTAAACACGCAATTATGGAAGCCGTCTCAGACAAAGTCAGTGACAGGTAGTTACAGAAAACTCAAGTTTCAATTACTAAACAGCATTTTTATGCAGACATTAAACTATAAAAATTTTCCAGCCTTCTATACTCGAAATAAGTTCCAGCCTGGAAATATCAAATTTTATTAATTGTTGGAATTGTTTTGACATGTTCATTGCTTAAAGGAGTAAGTTTATACCAAAGCACCAAAGAAGAAGAAAAAAAAATCTTGCTGAATATTCAAAACTGGTGCACCAGTTTTGGTCAGCTCTGCTTTCCATACATATTTGCCACTGCCAGGAAAACAGCTGAAAAAGCACTGGGGCTTACACAGTTTGGATGATGTTTAATGTAGAAGTCCTAAAAGAGGGACCTAGTGACAGATTTTCGAAGTGGCTGGACTTGACCCTAAGAAACTGGATTTTATTTGCATCTTACAACACGTTAAGATCTGTCCTTGCAGATTAAATTATTTTTTTTTCAGGCTTCAATAAGTAATACAATAATGTATGAAATTTTACCTTGAAACTAGAGAAAACAGCACTTTTTGCTTTTTAACAAGACCAAGAAATTAAGCATGAGAATTACAAACCACTTCAAAGAAGTAGCTGCAAATCTGATGTCTGTCACAGCTGAGAAGCAGAAATCCTAGGCCAGCAGAACTCACAGCCTAAAAAGTCTTCTAAAATATTTCTAACTTGCCCTAAGTGCCTGGACCCTGTCCCTGGTTTGATAAAGATTGCTATATTTTGGTTGCCAGGTGGCAGGCAGGTGGCTATTCAACTAGGACATCCTAACAGGCTATACTGGTCTCTCAAGCTCCTGTATCTTCCTCTGACAGGCTATACTGGTCTCTCAAGCTCCTGTATCTCCCTCTGCTTCAGATGCACCGAAATCTCTCAAGAATCTACACTTGAATACTTCCAAACATCATTTTTTCTGCGGTTCCACTTCATACTGGCAAAACAATATGTCTTAAGACATAATGATTTTATTTAACTGTGTATTCTAATTCTTCACATAGAGGCAGTTGTATCAGCTTTGAAATGTATTTTTACTATCTCCATCCAAGTAGAACTTCTAACTTTTTTGAAACTCAGAAAGTTATCAATTAAGTAGGCTCCAATGGCCCTTTTATGTTCTGCACAAGCCTTTATGGGCAAGGAATTGGCAAATTAGCAAGTGACAAGCATTCCTTATTCATACTTTAGTGAGGCAAGAAATACTTCATCTGAATTCTGTGACAAAATGAACCTTTTAAGACTAACTTTCAGCATAGGCACATAATCAAGTAACCAGAAGGTAAGGAGATGCAAGCCCTCATCTCATAGATACTGACCTTTTGTATATGTTTCTTTTCTGTGCTGTGAGGCCATCTGAGGTAGTTCATCTCTCTCCTACTGTGCAAACTTGTTTTATTTTGTCCAAAATCTCAACATTTCACTAAATACAGTCTTTGTTGTTACACTGGTGAGGAGGCTGATGTCAGCAAAGAGAGCAGTAGGGGATTTGTTTATGCGACAAAGTTGCTCCTCTTATGGAACACTCTCCAGCTGTTTCCACTGTGTTATCCTTCCCTCTACAAGGATCTTAAAGGCACAGTTCAAACTGTGCCAGTTCCGAAAAGAGGAGAGTAAAAAAATACACCCCTGCAATTTCAGGGAACATTCCTGTTACATAAAGTGTTTGGCAGCTGCAAGGACAGCCAGAGGTGTTCTGTAGCCCATGATCTGTGGCTGTCACACACTTCTGCACATGCTTTGCAAAGCACAGAAGCTCCAACAGTTCTTGGTTAATTTTCTAATTGGTTGTCAGTAGCAGCCCTGTTACATTCAACAGTGTACTCTCCTGCAATATGAAAACACAAAAGGCTCTAACTAGCATTTCAGCTTTCTCCTGGTCACCCAAAGCCAAGCCTCAGGTCACTCAACAGTCTGAGAGTGGAGGCATCTAGGGACAGATGTTAGCTATGAAGGTTGCAGAAGACCAGGCTAGGTGACAGCAATGGAGAGAAAGCAGGGCTGTCAGGGTTTGTGGCTTCCACCACAAAGAGACAGTGGCTGAAAGCCACAGTGCAAACAGGTGACTTGAGCAAAAGCTGAAAGCAGAAAAGTCAAGGAAGGCTGGAAGCTAGAGCTTCCTGTGCCTTCTTCCCCTTGGAAGATGAGCTGCTACCCCTTCCTCTGCCTGTGTGCAGGGAATAGCTCTGGCATATGCAGAGGGAACCCCTTTGTGAGAGACATACATCTGAAGACATAGTAAATGCTCTGAAATAGCCCACTGGAGCATGTGTGACTAACTGGTGGGGAAGCAGGGATCCTTCACTTCATGCTCTGGACACATGTGGTTGCTGTGCACTTTTCAATCAAAGCATTATTACAAGCAGGCAGTTCAGTCTCAGGTCCTCCTTGTGCTTTTTCTGTCACGCTCAGTCACACAATTCATCCTGTTCCTGCTGCAGTTTGTGAGCTCTATAAATCTTTGGTTATCCTGGCCATTAGCTCAGTGTAAAATAGGGAATAATCAATATTTATTCCTAGTTACCTAGCCAAATCCCAGTCCTACGGCAGCCTCTTACATTTGATTTGTCAGTTGTGGCTGTTTAATAACACTGTCTTTTGAGCTCTAAAGAGTTAATAGGGACAATTGGTTTTAACTTGCATTCCTAACTTGCTTCATCAGGTCTTTCCAATACTCCCTCCTCAGCTTGGGAGGAGTTTATTTTTCTGGGGAGTCGTCATTTGCAGGGAACATACACCACTCAGTCACCAATTCAGGCACCATTCTGCAGAGTCACTTGAAAGCTTCAACATACTTCACCGGAAGAGAGAACAGACCTGCCTTCCCCCAGTAGTCAACTGCCCGTACTCTGTAGAAGCCGAAGACTGAGCTTCCTGCAAATGAAAAGGTTAGAAATGGTCACTGTGAATGGCTGACACCTGTAGTGCTTGGAAGATGTGGAACTGGCACTACTGTAAAATGTGGGTTTGTGGAACAGAATAGGGAAGTGGTAAAATCGGTTCTCCACCCTACATAAGTGTGTCTGTGCCTTTCTAACTAGAAACAATTATGAATTCCTCGTGGCCAATTACTGGCTCTTATTTTTGTTGCACCAAGGACCTAATCTCTCGTCATTAGGATCTGCAAGTGCAGCTACAGGACTGCCATCCCAGCAGTCCCTCTGGAAGAAGGCTCTGACATCTTCTGAAACCCACAACTAGTAATTTCCTTTTTTCTGATTTACTTCTCTGCCTGAATTGTGCCTTTGGAACAGGTTATATGGGGGTAAGATCAACAAAGAAGCAGAAGAACATGTAGGCTGACTGAAAACCCTCTGCTCAACTTGGGAAGCAGCACAAGTTGTTCCAAAGGTATGTGAGCTGACATTCTGTGGCTCTGCTGGTTTTTACCCTTGATCCAGTTCAAAGAATACAGCCTTCACTAGCAGAGTCTTTAGCCTCACAAGCAGTATAAAAGGTTTTTATGTGTGCTTTAGTATTTAATTTTTTTTTCTAAAGGAAAAAGAATGCTAGAAATAAGGAGCGAGAAGTAAGTAACTACCAATAAGGGCTGCTGAGATGTGAGATTTTTTCAAGTAGTCTTCTCTTTCTTGATTTTGAAACAATTAAATCTGGTAGGTTCCCCAAATGTACAGCACTACATGATAATGAATCCTAATTTCAGAGATTTGCCTTAGCCATGATTTATAGTCTTTGCTTACCTGTGTAGCCTCTACATTGCAACAACAGCTCTGAACTTTACTATCCATGCACTGCTGATGCTAAGCCTTTTTCAGGCTAAGATGAGCTTTTGTTTCTGGCAAAAGTATCTCTGAACTGCTCTTTTTTAGGTTCACTTTGAGGCAAGGTTTGTCTGTGTTTTAAACAGCTATGATCAGTGCTTATTAGTAATACTTGTTGGACAGCCACATTGGAGATTAGATCACATTTGGTTAAAAAATCCCCCTCAACAACCAGAAAAATACCCAAAGAAAATATTGCTATCTTCTTTCAGCATTTTTCATCTAGGCTGTATTTGAGGAGAAATGACCACAGATGCTGGGTGAAGCTTTGCCTTTTGACAAAGATGAAACTCACTGACTTCTAATGTGAAACATCTAAAACTTCGACAGCTTGTCAGGGCTAAAGAGAAAGCTTTAGGAAACAGCAAGGAAAAGGCTCTCTCCTTGACTGGTGTTCAGATAGCCAGGACAAACTGTACTACAGGAGGACCTCTCCTGTACTTACAAGTGAGCCCCTCAATAGCTTAAGATTGACAAGCCCTAAAAGGTTATGGGAACAGGGGCAGGTGTCCACGATGAGAGCAGAATTGCAACTTTCCCCTGGAGCAGCTCAGAACACAATAAATGCAAGACAATCAACCCCTCCATGAAAGGTGGATGTGACCTCCCACCTACTTGTGTGTTGATGTCATATCCTTAGGCAGTCTAACACCTCAAGACACAGTGGTACAAAGCAAGTGTTACCAAGGCAGTTTGCTCCTATTGCCTACCCCAAAAGCCTGTGGGACTGTGCCCAAACCTCAGTGCCCAAACCTCACAGCTTGCTGTGAGTTTACTACCAAGAACACAACATGAAGCTGTGGTCATGTGGAGCAAATTTTTTGTTCTCATTTTTGCATGCTTCTACACTAGCTATAAATAGAAATAAAAGTGCTGCTTTGCCTCTCAGGGAGCTTGCCAGGCCCACAGCTAAGTGACTAGTTTCTGTGACAACAGTTTTGCTCATGGCAATACTAATAATAGTGTCCTCATGATGATTTGTCAATTAGTGCTTGATCTTGAGAATAAGCTTTCACTGAAAACATGGTCCTCAAGGAAAGAAGTTGTGGTGGCAGTGTATGTCACTAGCAAGCTATGTACCTTTAGTAGTTACTAAATGGTGTTTCACACACTCATGAGTGGCACTATTAACATGACGGATTACATAATGTGTATTCTTGCCTTACCTGGACTGTAGACCCAAAGGGTGAATATTGTGTCTTTGGCATTAATCCGCTGGTATGCTTTTCCATCTAGTGAGAACTCCACTTCGAATGTCTTTATACATCTATAAAAGAAAAACAGACAGCTCGGTAAATACAGCTGATAATGCTGTGAGCAATCAAATCTTCACCTCAGGGCCATTCCAACAATAAAGGGCAAAAATAGGAAATATTCAGTTGACTTATTCCTACCAAATGTGGGATGGCATTAATTGTCAGTATTAAGAACCACGGCTCCAACAGCCCACAGAAGAACACCCAGACTGACTTCTTATATTGGATACTTGCAGCATCACAAACTGTTAAGCATCTTTTACTCCCAAACCACAGTTATCAAGGCTGAAGGAAAAGTCTAGGGAGACTGGCTTGAAAAGGAGCTAAGTCAGTGCTTCCTGAGGGAGTGAATGCACACTGGATCACCTCTGACAGTTTACCTACAGAGGGTTTCCAGTCTAGTACAGCTTTCTGGAGCAAAGAACTGGAGGTTTTCTCTTCCAGCTCATATCCCTTACAGGGATGTGCAAGATCCCACCTAGGCACTTGCTGCTAATATTAACTTTTATATGGATCTCCATGTCTGCTATGCTGAAGGCAGGTCCCTCAAAAATGACCCTGGATGCTGGTAAGCAACAGGCATATTCTCTTGTTCAGACTGCAAATCAGTCACGGTTGCTTTCCATTGTTACTGCATGTAGGTCCTACAGTTCATTTGTCAGACATATGCACCGTAGCATCTCTGAAGGAGCAAGTAGTCATTAATTTGTGAACTTGTTGCTTTTTGTAGGACTGGTGCCAACTTAGGGAGTAATGTGCTGGTAACTCAGTTATACACATTTTATTTTAAAAGTTACTTACTTTGAATTTACACAGCCATCATCCCACAACACAATGACCTGCCCCTTTGTGAGAGGGATCAAACGAACACCGGTCACCTGTCCAAAGACACATGCCCATGTAAGAAAACTGTACAAACCAATCAGACAGGTCAGATTTCTGTGTTCATCCTTCCTCACTATTTACTTTGATTCTTTTCACTGAGACAGGAAAAAAGCAGAATTCCTGACTCTGTGGCTTTGTAGCCTATGTCTCCAACCTGTCAACCTTGCAGAGCACCTTCAGAGGCTCTGGGCACCACTGTGAACATGTGTGGGACTGAATGGGCAGATACAGATGTCTAATCTACAACAGCCATGACTCCATTTTATTTTTAGTGATCAGTTATTAATTGGAAAGATTTTGTCAAGCATATGATGTGATTTAAAAAAAGACACTGTACTTTCCAGTACTGCATTAGTATTTTCCCACCATGGATAAACTTGCACTTATCTCAGGAGATGGCTTCTATCACTTGTGGGTGAATGCTTTATCTTGAATTATGCCTGAAGAGCCTTCTCATCAGAGAGAACTGCTTACAAATAATAGGCCCAAATGCTAGTCCAGCTATTAGTGAGATTTAAAGCAGGAAGCAGTTTCTAATTTGGTGAGTCTGGCAGCAGAATACAACACATACTTGATCAGGAACAGATCTGGGTCTTGCACAAATGTGGATAAGAAAGACTGAGGGAACAGGACAATCTTGCTTCACTGTCAGAATGCCACCTTCAGGAAATGGGAATGGGCCTGTTGCCACTGGGTCCTGTGGAGCCAAAGAGAAGTGTTGTGAATAATCTTTCATTACAGCACCTAAAAGCCAACTGTTACACCAGTGTAAAGGGACGGTGTATTTACTTTGGGACTGTAAATTTTCAATGGAGTTGGTGCTGGTAAGTGGCTTACAGCCATCAAAGTTCTTCAAGCTGTGAGACATTTCTATCTTGCCCATTTTCCAGCTCTTTAGGAAACAAGGGGTTTTGTGACTCATGAACTGTGTTGGTCACAAATGCCCTTTATGTGCAGTTTGTCACTTCTAGTAACCTCCCATGGATGCCTTTCAGGCTAGTGGTATTTACAAACTACACTCCTGTCTCTTAGCTATGGATTCCCAGAATGCAGTGAAAGCTATGCTAGCTATAACAACCAGTCAACTGGTCTCTGAGTTTCACCAGACGGCCAAGAGTATCTAAAAACCTTGCTGCTGTCCTGTTGAAGGAAGATCCAATGGCTCCTATAGTATCCCACCAGCCTCAGCAATAGTGGGTTATGGTGACTGGGAAGAGAAGACATAGTACTGTACACCAAAGTCTGAAGGCAATTGCTGTCTATGGGTCCCAAAGCAGATAAAGTTGGCCTCCTTTATTTAAACCCATGGGTCTGAATGCATAGGAAAGCTATGGGAGAGGTAGCTGAAGTGACAGACTGCTTTCATATTCTCAAAGATAGCAAGTAATCTGGGCATGACTTTTCTCAGTAGGGAGGAGTCCTCAGAGAGGACTTACTCCTCAGCCCCTCAGGGGTGCATTCAAGAAATTCTGAGGATGAGGGGAAACTGCAGGCCTCCCTGTGAGCCCTTGAGAGATTCCAAGTGTCTTCTGAACTTGCACTGGGTAGTTTCCACCTCAGAGATGTTTGTTTTCTGTTATTGAGTGGGGTTCATTTCAACTCTTTAATGCAGCAATTTGGCCATGTGACTTATTTGGGGAGACAGAACAGAAAGGCTCACTGAAGGAGAGAAGTTAGAACTTGCTCTGGAGCAACTCTGGCTCCTTATTTAAGGGTAGGCCAGTAGCAAAGAAACTGGTCATCTACATTTAGTGTCTTGTGTAACAAATGCAAAGGTATAAGTTGTGTATCAGCAACATTGCTCTTTGTGACTGAGAGTGCATTTTCATTTGTATACAAGACACACATGACTAAGGAAGTTCTGACTACCTGAGCTGATTTCTTGTCTCTTTAGCTGTAGTTAACTAATTTGTAAGCACTCTACCCATACAACACTTCAAGCAAACACACGGTCATACCTCAGCATCCCTTATTTGCTGGAACTGTTCTGGGGAAGGAAAGTCAGGCTTTCCCAGCTTTTTCCACTTCAGGTAGGGATTGGTTTGGTTGTTATCCAGGTAATATGTCATATACACCATGTCTTTGGGAACACAAATGAAAGGGAGTAAATTCTTTACTTTGATTTAAAGATAACAAAAATAAATTTAGCAGAAGGTGTTTAAGTCTACCTTCTCAAAAGTTATTTCAGCACTTCAGAGCCTGGCTTCCACTGGAAAGTCACAAGGCTGGCACTCTTAAAAGGCTCTACAATTTATATTTGCCAAGTTTAAATTTCAAGCTGCCTCTTCCATTACCAAAATTGAAACCCTCTTATTTTTTGCACAGGTGCTGCACATGTTTGTTGGACAACTGCATCAACTGTGTAATACTGTGGTCATGTTGGCTGTGTTGGAGTCATCCCAGTAAGGTAACTCTTGCCTGACAATATGCAGCCAAGGACACTGAGATTAATAGCTTTCAAAAAAGGCAGCACTTGCAGCTGACATTAAAGACAGGGTCAAAGTGCAGGCATTAAAAAAGAACCTTTCCTAGAAGAGCACCGTCATATCTCAGAAAATCTGGGAGTTCCCATAAAACGAGAGTTAGCAAGTGAAACTCACTCTTGCAAAAAAAGGCAACCAGGCAGAAGTGTTTCAGCAGATGTTCTATTCTAAATATCTATTATGTGAGCTGCCTACATGATATTTGTTTACCTCGAAGTTTGGGGAAGTGGGTGGCATTCACTGTGATGGTGCTGATATTGGATGAAGTCCTGTTATCCTCACTTGAATACATCAGTAGAGTTGCTTGCCAACTGTCTGAAGGTTGCACCTCACTCGGGGTGTGCACAGATGCCAGGACACCAACTGTGCTGTTCTGAGTGCTTTCACCTTCACTGCTGTTCACTTCTGCAAAAATCTGCTTTTCTCCTTTAAAAAATGTGACAACTCTGTAAGCATCACTGCTAGTCAATGGTCATAACATGGGAATCTATGTTCTAGCTTATGTTACCAGGTATAGCATTTACTCAGGCTTATTTTACAACAGCAGAGCATGCACGTACTGCAGCAGTTATGCTCAGCAGTTCAGCTAGCAACATTCAAGTATGTAACAGTGAATTAGGATCTTCCTTTAGTATGCTGCATGGTTCTTTCAGCTGTGGAGATTTCTTAAAGACATTTGCAGCCTGGTGTGATGGCACAAGAGGGAAGTACCAGCCACAAAAAAAGAGTGGTTGGCATGCAGAGGGTATAAAAAAAGGAGTAAATTAAATCAAATGGTTAACAGAGTGTCAGGAACATCTCCTGAGCTATTAATTTCTCAGAGGAAATCAATTTTCATTTTCTTAACACAGCTAGTAAACAGGGGAGGAGCAGGAGAAATCCTGCTTTTATCAGTGGTGGCATGACTGGAATAATCTCTCTTGGGCAGGAAGCTTCTAGGTAGAAGAGGTTATTGATATACTCTTTAATCAGTGGTTACTATACCTAGCAGTGCTAGCAGGCCCATGACAGTCAGCACTGGTTTCCGCACCATCTGGACATGAGGTGGCTTTGTATTGTTCATCTGAAAACGGGCTGTCAGAGTTCGCTGTGTAAAGTAATGGGGGTGGTAGCTCAAGAAGGCATTGTCATTACTTAGCAGTGTGTAGTTGATGGTGTTGTTGGCTTTGGAAATCAGCAGGTTTTGATGCTGGATAATGACCTGCAAGTTCATAGAGAAGATAGAACTTCATCCTGAAGAAAATTCAACAAACACACAATGTCTGGTTTGTTTTGGTTTTTTTTTTCATTTTTACAGCATATTGAAAAGAGCTGCCACTCTGCCATTTAGAAAAGCTTGAAGAAATAAACTGTTCCTCCCAACTCTTGAAGAAACTGTTCTTTAGGTAACACATTAATCACTGGAAATGTGAAGTATCCATATAGTTTTTCCAGTAAAAAGTCTGTGAAATAACTATTACTACTACTCTACATAAATTATGAACATATTTCGTAGCTATTGCACTACAAATGATGCTCCTCTATCTTGAATACTGAACTAGGTCTGGATTTACCATTTACCAGTTAAATATAAATGGTTCTCCAACTCTGGAGTTACTCTGTACCCATTACACAAGTGTCTGGGAGCTGGTCCTGGATTCTCTTCCTCAATGAGTCATTTTACCCACTCGGTGCTAATATGGAATTAGTTCTCCTGGTATTTCAGTGGTTGCTGTGCTTCTTTCCTGCAAAATGTCAGAGCTCCCAAGCTTTCTGTTTACCAGATTGTGTCCAAATATCAGAATCAAACAGAATTTCACAACACTGACAACTGAAAAGGTCTTATAATTGTGTTCCCGAAGGAACACAGGGCTCCAGCTCCTATCCACCCAAGAATTCATTTTCCATTGGATGTGTCTTTCCCCCCCCCACCCCCTTCATATCACCACATCATTATAAACACTGTTTTGTCTCACAAATTCCCTGCAATGTAGTCAGTGACTTGTTGCTTTGGACAAGACTGCTTTGTATGCAGCCTAAAGGAGCTGGGAGCCTTTGTCTCCACAGGAGCAGCTGATAAGGTGTATCCTGTTTCTGGGTGATACACATGCTCCCAGGTTTGGGAACTACCACTCTGCACAGGAGCATGTGAACTCTGGATACTGTGTAAGATAGTGGGTTGCAAAGCAACAAGCCTGCAGTAGGAACTACTCCTATGCAGGGGCAAGAGGTGAGCTAGGAGTCAGTCTACAATTCCTGCAGGAGCAGGAATGCTGAGCATTCTCTTCTGCTGTTCTGATCAACAGCAGTAATTAATATGACCACATGTACATTCATTATCCAAAACCAAAGAATGGACTTTTGCTGAGAGATCAAGGGGCTTTTTAACTATACCTGATGTCTCTTGATGAAACAAACTTATGAAGGAGCCTGGAAATAATGTCTCATATAAGTGAGGAGATAGCTAGAAGATTTATTACATGGAGAGAAGATGTGTAGGTACAGTCTTATCAGGTGGGTCTAACTGGGGGACTGTTACAATATCTGTCATATTCTCCAACACATGGAAGGCTAGTTAGCAGTTGCTTATTTTTAAAGGGAAGATGAAGAAAACTAATACAAACTAAATAAAGGTACTGAAAACAGACTATTCAGGGAAACCCCAGCTGTATCACTAAGGAACTCTCCTTCTGCTGGATCTATTATTCTGAGTAGCTAATTAAAAATTGACTGTGTCTACTTTTGCAACTGCATTCATGCATCAGGAGACCCTACTGTGACAGGACTGTCAATGAACTGAATTACCTTTACAACCATAGCTGCATAGGTCACATCAGCTCGCCACAGTTGTGGAATGGACCATCCAACCATGGGATCTGCTTCATCATTGTATATGGCAACAGAAGCAAAATTTGGAAACAGCTTCTGAATTTGTTCAATTGCTTCTACTTCCTGTTGTAAGATGTGGAGAGAACTCCCACCTCCCTGTAACAATATTTCATATCTGCTTAGTGAAAGTGAGCAAACAGTAGTAAACACTGTGTGATATAACATACAGACATAAACACATTATGAAAACATGTTCCTAGAGTCCCTGAGGAGCTGTGGGCCAGAGAGTATTTTACATAATCCATTACAGCATGTGCTGTTTGCATGAGCTCCTCCTAGAATATAGAATAGAGTAGAGGCCGAGAAGTTGTTTCCCCCTGGTAATTAATGAAAAGGCAAATTTACTTTGAGTTGAAGTCTTGCAACTGAACATCTTCAAGGTTTTGTTAAAATAGCTAGTCATACTTCCTGCTATAGGCTCGATACTCATCTGGAAATCAACTTCATAAATCAGAGTAAAATAAATTTTTTAAAAAATAATAAATTAAGAAAAAACCCTTGGATTGAACAAATTAAGAAAACAGCCTTAAATAGAAATTTTGGACTGACCTTCTTATGGAGAGAGATGTAGTCCAGCCTTACACCAGTCTCCCCTGTGAAGAAGTTGGTCCCATTATAGCAATGACAGAGAAGACTCCAGCATATGGGTGACTTGGGTAAGGGGTGGAAGGAATCTCCAGGCCCTCCAAATTTTAGTAGAGGACTAGCTGCTCTTAATCCTTCTGAACATGCATCATAATAGTTGAGAAAGCCTGAAGTACAAACCAATGCAGATATCAGAGATGATAACTCAAATCAGAATCTTGATCTAAAACTAGAGGAACATGTTATAATTCTGTTATTGCATTTATTAGCACCACGTCACAAACTAAGATGACTCTTTCCTACACACCAAGAACATGAGAAGATGTCAAAACCTCAGCTGCCTACACAAGGTTCTTCCAAAGGTCTTGTGAGGACCTGTTCCCAAAGCAAGCATCTACCAATGAACAGTTTTCCCCTTACTCCACCCTTCACCCACTTATCCCCAGTAACCTTACTTCATGTCCAAATAACGAACCACATCTTCTTCGTGTAACTGCTGTTCTGTTTTCCCTGTTCTACTATCCCTGTATTTATACTGATGTCCAAGCTGGAACAAAGTGTAGTCAGTAACATGACTTTAGTAAAACAGAATAGATATACTTTTCACATTCCTTATCACTCCTTATTTCTTATTCCTTATCACACCTTATTTCTTTGCCAACATCTCTCCTTTCTTACGCTCACGCCTCCACCTACCCCACACACCTGTCTCACTTCACAACACTTGCAACTGCTCCAAAACATGCTCACCTTTTACTGTCATAGACACATTGTCAAAGTCGTGGTGGTCTGGTTCATTCCATGTTTCAAAATTCCATTTAGCAACATGCTCCAATCCATACCTATCTGTGGGAGAGGTCTCATTTATCACTGTGCTGCATATTCAGACAATTTGATCAATTAATCACTGATCCAGACAATCCTATCAAATAGGGCTGCTAGTAAAACAGGTATAGATATTACCTATTTCTAACAATAAGGGAATTGTGATTTTGGTAGTTTGAAAATTATCTCTCATTTTCAAAGAAATGCAGCAATATTTGAAAAAGATGAAAGGTGAGAGGGAGGTGATAGGAATTAGAGTCTTGTGGTTAGGGCACTCACATAGCTTTAATTCAGGTTGAGGTTTCTGTCTCTTTAGAGATATTTGAAGTTGGCATGTGAAAAGCTGGTGGTTTACAACCACAACAACATAACAAAGTTAGAAGTCAGTCCTCAGAGATAGGCCAAACATGCTACACAGAACACATTACTTATTCAGGATGTTGGTCACTGATCAGCAAAAAAAAAGGGCTATTATCCCATCGTCTGTTCTGGCAGGTGTTTTTTCCTGTTCTGTGCTGAAATCCAGGGTCTTGAAATTGATCAGAATATACAGAACTTTTGAGGTAGTTAGAAGTGATTATAACAGAATAAATAACAGGGCTTTTTCTTTTTTTTTTTTGTTGGTGTTTTGGTTTGGTTTGGTTTTTTAACTTACCTATATATCTGCTGGCCAGAAGTGTAATCAAGTTTCTCCACTTTATTAACTGTTCTTTATCTTCAAAATCTAAAAAGTATCCTGATGGATTCCCCATCAATTCAAATCCTGAAAAAAGACACAAAAGATTGGTCTCCTTTTTTGGTAAATGCTATCTCCTTTTGATTTATGAAGGAGTTATTGCATTATCTGAAACAAACTTGTTAATGAAGAAGCATGACTAAATGGGCTTTCTTTCCTGTTTCTACATGTCCCCACCAGGAATATTTCAGATTTGAGATTGCTCACACTTACTAATGACTACAGTAATCACTACTAATACTTACCCTCCTAAATTCAGGGCTCGAAGGGAACTTTAAACAGTGGATATTTGCAGAAATACAAAAGAATCTATACCCTGAGTATCTGCTTCTCTGGCCCTTTTAGGTATATGTTAATGGGTACAAAGTTTTCTCCTCTTCAAGAGATCTCATTTCCTAATTCATACATCTCAAACTGTTGTTGAAAGCAATGTAAAACCATTTGTGTTAACTTCAGTAATAGTGTTTTGCTCACACTGTTTACATTTAGATGGACATGAGGTAAAGACAAGTAGGAAAAGAAATAATTTTTATCAAAATCAGCTTTGGCAAAGCTCTCTAAGAATTTTCTGATGATGGTACAACATGGGTAAACAGATGTAGCAAGTTGTGGAGGTAGGGAGCTGCCCTTACCTGGAATTAGCTTATTTTCCCACAGGCGATCCATAAGGTTATCCAAGGCAGTAAAATTGTAGTGAAGTTTCCCATTCATCACTCTGAAGCATACAGGTAAGATAAAGTACACATGTAAATATGGCAAAAGTGGCATTTGGTTGTAGATAATGGGTCAGATGGCTGCATTCTTTTGGCTCTCAAAATCTACATATAACTAGGGTTCTGGAATTGTACATTCTTCCTCTAAAGTAACAGGTGTTCACCATAATCAAGTCATGTTTCTTGTCCAATCCATGCCCTTTTCCTATTCCAGCAGCAGCAATAGAAGCAAAATAATGAACTTGCTTGCTTGCTTGAGTTTTTAACAGCTTCAAATTCCTGAAATGCTTTTCTTGCCTGGTATCTAGTGAAAAAAAAATATAAAGTAAGGCTTTGTAAGCACCCTTGAGATCAGTCCAGCCCTGATCATATAGGAAGGCTGATCAAGGTCTTGTTAGCACCTCTCAAAGCTTATTTCTTCAGCCTTGCCAGAGAACTACACCTAATTTCTATGGTACAGTACAGCCTGAGCTCTGCCTCTGCTCTCTTGCCTACTCATTCCTAGGCACCTTGCCTCTGCTTAGATGGAAAGTTGTATGAGTGGACTGCAGATGTAATGTCCTAGGTATGATGGAAGGGGAAGAGACAATCACTTACAGTTCCTATAACTGATCAGTGCTAGCAAGGCATGCTGGGCACACAGGATAAAATGTGAGAATGGGGCAGTCAGCAGATCAATGCTGGGCTCCGTGCTGAGATTCCCCTCTTGTTTCCTTCTTTGCCTTCCCATGCATTTCTGAGCCTCTTAGACTGAGGCTCTTCCTCTGTGCTTTCTTTCCAAGGGAAGGTTTCAGTCAAGAACCTGTAATAGCAGTCCTGAAGTTCTCAGAAAACTAAGAAGGGCTGACAGAATTACCTAGTGAATAAAGAGGACATCAGCATTTCTGACTATGATCTAGAAAAGGAAAACAGGACACGCAAACTAGATATAACATAAGCCATATCCGCTGTACCAGCTCCTCCTGTGGCGTAATCAAGCACGCAATCTTAGCCCCAGCACGATCACACTCCTTTACCAAAGATCCGAATCTGGCTTTTCTTTTTTAAAGTATGTTCTATCACCATGATAGAAATTGTCAAGTCTGCCACTACTGATGGGCTTGCAGTTCCAGCCAGAGTCAAATGGTGCAGGTGTGAACAAAGCAAATAGCAGAAAGACATTTATTTACTTTAGTATCCGTAAGAGTATTTTCAAAGTTACTGTTGAACTAAAGAATGGCCATTTGGAACTAGGGTTCTTTTCTGGCTTAGATAGAGATTAAAAAAAAAAAAGTCTGACAGTCCTATTCCAAAGTTCAAAGACAAATATTTTGTTGCAAAAGGTAGCTAAGCTCCCTCAGATCCGTTAACTATTTCCAGTTGTACCCTGTGTTCTATTGAAATATTTGCTTACCTGCACACTTACAGTGAGTGACCATAAGAATGATTAACTCTACTATCTAGTAAAACCTTAATAATACCATTTAGATAATAGCAAAGGAAGTAGTGTCTTCCTGACTCCAGGCTAAGGTGTACATAGTACTAAGTAAAAACATATGGGTAATTAAGACCTTCTATCTGATGTATGTACACTTAAGATCCTAGCACATCTACATTCTTCCTCCTGTATCAATTAAGTAAAACATTTGAAACAGAATGCCACTGCTACATGACTGAAATGACAGTACATGAGATCCTGTGCAAGTGTAGAGCACTTCCTTACACCCTTTGGCTGATCTGTCCCTTTATGAGAATCTTTTCTTGTTTGCAAAATGATTAGGCTGTATGTTCCTATTAATAAAATGATTATTTGACTGCTAGGATTGTCAGTTTCTCAGATCTTGACCTTATGTTTACCCATACTATTTTTCTGATGTGAAAGTGATGCACTTTTTTATAATTGATGCTATACAGGATCATTAGAATTTGGGCTGCATGGTTGCATGCCATGAGGTGTCTAGAAGCCATGCTGACTGCCATGTGTGAGGCACAGCAGGAACCTCACAAGCTGGTATTACTTACAAACATTCTGCATGAGGAAGATTGGCTCAACTGTAAAGCTGTTACCAGGAGTGCTATAAATATAATTTTAGGACACTGAAGACCAGATCAAAACTGTTAAAGGCATGTGACAAGGTAAATCCCTGACCCAAGATAAATTCATGTCACATTGTCAAAGTTGTTCAAAACAGTTTTGTATGTCTGACCTAGGACCCGCTGGTGCAGCATCACATACCTATCACTGGGCCCTTGATAGTAAGCTCACAGACCTTTACAGTCTTCTACGTTTTATTTGCCTGCTCTTCTTCTGATCTCTCTGCCCTTAAGTCATGTTTTATAGACACCACTATCTTCACTTATGAACACACAGAAGGCTATGTCCAAAGGAAACGTTATTTCATTTGAGTGCTTGCCAGGCTGGGATTGTTCATTGTTTGGTATTGGGTATTTCTTATGTGGAGCAGCGATCACTGTCCTGTCTGTGCCTGGCTTTCAAATGCTCCTCAACTGGGCTTTTTCTGGGAGACTCGTCAGATAAGGCCTTCGTCATCTTCAGTCATAACAAGCAACTACACTAAAGCACATTTACTGCCATTCTGGCACCAATGGCCTTATAACCCCCAGGCCTGAGGCTGCTATACTCCAGAGACTGCTGCCTACTGGTGAGGTGTCTTTCCAGTCTTTGTGGTGGTCTCAGATCCAGACACATTTGTATGTTCTGCCTCTTGAGAGCAACAGCTCTGCTGTGAACATGAAGAGCAGTGATGAGTATGGAGCAGTCTACTGGCTGTCACAAAATCTTGTGGCTCTCTTCCTTGGAAAGGCTTGCTTTGTGGGCGATCCTCTGCTGAGTCAAAGGCTATAGAACCATGTTAAGAGCTTTCCACTGCCTCCCTTTACTAGAGTAAGTTTCTTCCCAATACAGGGGGAAATTCAGGCACATAGGCAGCTAGCTACTGGATAGCTTGACGAAGTGGTGTAAAGATAATCGTGCTCTGCTTCTTACCCATGCCACTTTCAGCCTATTCCCATTCACAAACACAATCTCTTGGGAGGGCTGTCAACACCCTGCACCACAGCCAGATCTGCTCCAATTAGCACAGTTGTGAATACTGCTCCCTTAGCCTACAGCTACAGTCTCTTTCCTGTGTTTCTGCTGTTTCTCTTTCACCCCAGGTTGATCATGTCCAGGAATATAGTTGCATGCCCTGGAAAGCAAGTGCACACACAGACATTGGACCAAGTATCTTATCTACAGAGAAGAAAGCAAGAAAAATGCAGGCAGGGAGTGTTTCCATTACGAGGCAATCTTCAGTCAAGTATTGAATCTCTGATAACACGTTAAACTAACTTTATCGAACTTTACGGTAAAGTACTGAACAAAATTTCCTGGGATAGAAAGCCTTGTGGCTGACCCCTGTTAGTAGGTCACAGCCCATTTAGGAATGCAAAGGTAACATATACGGTAACAATCAACAATGCTGTTCTACTGAAGAGAGCTTTGTCTAGGCTAGGGTTGATATGATCAGGAAATATCTGTATACTGGAGTAGTGCCTTTCTCATCCTGACATTCTCACTCAGCTGGTGTGGCCTCACTTTGTATTTCTGGTGGATACAGCTACCACACAAATCAGAACCTAACATAATCTGGCTTGCTTTCACCAGTGTCTGAGAACTGCCTCTCTTCTTGTAGATTGGTCACAGTGACTAGCTAACACCACTCCCTAAATTAGCCTGCTGACATTCTCACTGGGAGCTTCTGATGGGAAAGATTGCTTGCCTAGTGGCAAGTGCAGCGACGAAATAGGTACAGAAAAATGGCACAAGGTGTTGGCAGAGGAGAAGTGCAAATGACACCTTAACAGTAAACAAAATTTTTCAGCAGGGTATTGGCTGACCTCAGGCTTGAAAGGTGCACTCCATGAGGGTGCCACCCAAAAAAAGACCCTGCTCCATGGGATGTTTTCTGGGTTATAGCCTTAGAGAGAAGTGAAAGTTCAGTCTAAAATACTACTTTACTATGATGCCTGATGAGAAAATGATTGTATTACATACCACTATTCATTTGATAGAGATGCTTGGCTCTGTGCCAGACCATTTTTGTCCAGCCTTGTAAACCAGTTCCTGCAAACATACCTTGGCCATGGTGCCTGGATGTGGACCAATGGTAACACAGTTACTGATGAGTGTAAATATGCATGATAATTAAATTCCCCCTCTCAAGAGTAAATCAAAAGTAAACACTTATTGCAGTAGGTGACTACTATCAGGAACATCCTTAGATACAGCTTACTGCCTTTCTAGAGTCCATGATGCCATTTTAGGGATCATAACACTCCAGAACAGACACAGTGCCTGTCTAGCCTGGAGAGGAGCTCAGTGTCCAAAGCCAGATGTTCACTGGAAAGATGTAGGAACAAACACCAATAAAACACACTAGTTCAAACTCTTGCTACCAGCTCTCTAGAAGGAACTGTCTTCAGAAGTAACTGTCTTACTTCTTTAGCCAGGAGAGCAAGCTGTTGAAGTGACAGTGAAGCACATAAACTGTGAGCACAGCATCTTCAACATGAAGGTCAAAAGCTCTGGACAGGAAAAGTCAGCAAGTTTATCTTTTCCAAGAGGGTAACCTGTTGCCCTCCAAGTCCCTCTTACAACACAAAAGGATCCTGCCTCCTTGTTTTTTGCTTACCTTTGCAGCTATGAGGAATTTAATGAAGCCAGTTTAAAGTTCAGGCTGTTACAAAGACCTTGTTTGCCCCAAACCCATCAACTGTCTACATAAGCTTCTTGTTCTGCTGAGTACTTAAAAAACCTCCAGACCTTAAAAGCAAGTACTAATGGACTGTGAGCACTGTGGAAATGATACCTCAGAGTATATGAAGGGCAGAATAGCCCTCATTAGCATTCACCTTTCCAGAGACTGCCTTCTCAGCAGTTATTGCACCAGGTTTCCTCAGTGCCAACCAGAAAAACCCTACCAGATTGGTACTTCAGGTTTAAACACAAGATCATTAACAA